TCTTCCGATCTCGTTCGATGACGTGAGGCGTACTTTTGAAAATGATGTTCAAGCTGGCACTAGTAAACCTCCCGGAAAAATTAAAACTCCAAGTTTAAAAGCATCACGAAATCAAGGAATAGTTCCACGAACAAATTATTGTCGTAAGTAGATAATAGAAAACACACACACACACACACCAAATTCCTATCGTCTAAAGCAAATTTCTCTGTATTATTATCATTATCATTTATTATTTTGTACCTACTAGGAACAAACAGACAACGGATCGGTGCACAGCTTCAAGAAGCGCGTGAGACTTTTGCAGAGATAGCTCAAAAGCATGCAATATCTTTACAAGTAATATTTTCCATTTATTAATAAATCCTAACTTATTAATTGTTATTCTTTGCTGTTTCATGTAGAAGATTATGGACAACAAGTACAACGGTAATAATGATGATAAGTCAGATAATGATAATGATAATTATTTCTAATAGTTATTTGCAGAAGCTGCAATGAAACAAGCAAAAAACGAGGAGAAGCGTCTGGAATTTGAGAAATTCGCTTTAGAGGAACGTTTGAAACTCGAAGATCGAAGAATTTCGCTAGAGGAGCGAAATATGACAATTATCGAAGATATGCAAAAATTGCATGCTAACATGCAAAGCTTATACGCTAAGCTACTAAACGATGAGTAATTGTGTTTACTGCGATTCGTGGCCGTGGACGTCGACTTCTCGCTTCTCGTTACTTTCTTAGATTTTCCTGGCGCGTCACCATCAAATTCCGAAGACTCTTGTCGTCGTTGCATTATCCGGCTCGACAGTTTTTTTTTCTGAATGTCCGATGCCAAAATGTTGTCAAGTATCCATTCGACAAATTTCTGCAATTTATTTTAATTTGATTATTCGTTCGCATGTATTCTCAATAAATATTTATATTTCATTTATAAAAAATAAAAATCTATCGCAATCTTTAAATAACCTAATTTCATAACAAGGCACACCTTAATCTGAGATAAACGACGTTAAGACGTTTCATCCACGGCCGTAGGCTTCTGCACTTGGTGAACGGTGCCTCATTGCATGACAGATGGAATGGATGTTATAACCTTCAAGCAAATTGGTCATGCTTGTCCGCATGTTCAGCTCGGGTCCGTGGGTTCGCTAATCCCAAAAGATTGTGCGGATCAAATCCCCCCTGCGGTAATATTATAGAAAATCCACAATTGAGAAAGTCGTGAATTCAATTGCAACCTGAAACAAAAAAGTAAATAAAATGTCTTGATATAAAAAAAATTCAATGCTAAATGATTAATATAAGTTTGTTATGTGAAACTTACCAACAAATCAACGATGTGTTCTTCAGTTTAATCTCTTCCATATTGACGAGCAATAAATCTTTCTTGTATACGAATTGCGGTTGCACGTCCCTGATATTCATACTGTCGGTCTTCATTCTCAAAGATATTTTGTCTGTTCAGATCATGAATAAAATCCTCATCAAGATCTATGTCGTATATTCTATGTGCAATTCTCATGTTATGAAGAACAGCACATGCGTTGACTATTTTGCCTGCCATACCAGGCTCATACATTAATTGCCTCTGAGCAGACAGACATCTGAAAACAGATTTCCATACACCAAAAAGTCTTTCAACGCACGATCTAGCGCTGCACAAATCATCGTTATAACGATATCGAGGCGATCCTGGTACTTCATGTTTTAGAGGTGTCATTAGCCAAGGTTCTAAACCGTAGCCATCATCACCTACAAACATTATTTATTATTAGTTATTATTTTTATTATTAACATTACTTAGTATGTTATTGTAGATGAAGATCAACAGCTTACCAATTAACCAAGTATTGCGTTCTCCATTTTCAAAACGCCGTTCCATAACGCGACGTACTGGTGAATTAGACCAAATGTATGCATCATGACGTGCTCCTGGATATCTTGCGTTCACGTTGAGAATTTTTAAATCAGGATCACAAATCTGAAAGTATTAGAAAAAAGAATGTTGAAAATAGAGAAAGGCTGATCTAACAGTCAGAGAATAAGTGTAACATTACATGATACACACCGCTTGTACATTGAGTGAATGATCACCCCAATGATTTACGTAAGCTTCTTCATGTTCACGTGGTGCTATGATGTTTACGTGGGTGCAGTCTATTGCTCCAATAGCTCCGATAAAAGGCTGAGGTGCGGTTCGAAATTTTTCTTTTACGATAAAACGTTCTTCGTTCGTCATGGGAAATCTAACCCATTGTCTGAGAAGAAGCTCATTAATCGCATTGCTCACTTTTCTGACACAACGGCTAACAGATGGTTGGCTCGTTGCTATATCCCACTGCTCCGCTATTGAACCCTGATAGCAGCCAACTGCATAAAATCTTAAAGCAGTCAAAATCTGAAAGATAATA